ACAAGTAATTTGTTCTGGGCTTGTGAACTTTCTTGGAGTGTCCTTGTAAATCCTCTGTTTTGGAAGACAGGAAAAATGAGGGCACATCAGGTGCAAATTTATCACTAAGCAATTTGAAAACTGTAATCAAGTCGCCTCTAGTTCTACGATATGACAAAGGGAATAGGTTTAGCATGGCCAGTCGACCATCATACGGAAGCTTCGCTATTACGGGAATCAGCTTAGTTGCTGTTCTTTGGAATTTTTCCAAAAGGTCATTGTCTTTTTTAAGCAGGGGCTAGATGCTTGTATGCAGTACTCAAGTTTAGGACGTACGAACACTGTATACAAAGTCAAAAACGTTTGAGCGTTGACATGAGTAAAAGCCCTACGTATTGACCATAAAGTTCTATAAGATTTGGCGGCTATTGCACGGCAGTGTGCAGTAGTCTTCAGATCTCGGCTAAAGATGACTCTCAAGTCATTATGTGTCTGGACGACAGGTAGCTCAGTGTTATTCATCGTGTATGTATCTGAACCTTGATGACCGATATGCATCACAACACACTTGGAAGTATTTATCGGCAGCTGCCAGGTATGAGACCATTTGGATAATTTCTTCAGGTCATTTTGGAGTTCTAAGCTATCATCCTTACATCGTATGGTACTCCATATCTTGACATCGTCAGCATATAGCAAGACCGATGATGATAGTAAGCGAGGAAGGTCATTTACATACAAGAGGAATAGCACTGGCCCCAAAACTGTACCCTCGGGCACTCCACTAAGCACAGTTTCCCAGCTAGATAATTTTGAGTTTACCCGTACTCTTTCTTGACGCCCAACAAGAAAGTCTTCTATCCACTTCAATAGATTGCCTCCAATTCCGACATTTTTAAGCTCATATAACAGCCGGTTTTGCGGAACCTTGTCAAAAGCTTTGCTGAAATCAGTATAGGCTACGTCTACAGGTAACTTTTGGTCTTTAAGAGCGCACCAGCTTTCACAAGCGACTAATAAGTTAGTGAGACAAGAATAGCCTATTCTGAAACCGCGCTATTTTTCCGAGAGAATTCGGTTTTCATCGAGGTATTTTAACAGCTCTTTCCGAATAATCTTTTCTAAGATTTTAACAACCACACTAGTTAGGCTAACGGGTCGGTAATTCTCAGGTTTATGTTTCGTACCTGTTTTAAAAACAGGACTTACTATGGCGTTCTTCCAGTCTTTTGGTAAACGACCCTGCGTTACGGATAGCTTAAAGCATATACTTAAATGATTCGCAACGAAGTTAGATAATTCCTTTGGTAGCCTAGGATGCAATTCATCGGGCTCCATGGATTTACCTATGTCTAGCTTATTTAGCAGATCAAAGACATCGAGTTTATTTATGGTCACGCTATCCAGTGTATGTGTGGTGGGGGGTTTGTATGCGCTGACGGGAAGGGTGCTTCTATGGTATATACATTGTCAAAGTAGTATAAGAACACTTGAGCCTTACCAAAGTCATCTTCCACTAATGATGCGGCAGTACTGTCTCCCCATAGTGCAGGAATAATTCCTCTTCCTTTTGTCCTTTGGTTTATATAGGAATACAAGCGTTTAAGACATTCTATGGATTCCTTAACAATTTTTTCTTCGTACAGCTTTCTAGACTTACGGAGGGTCGAGGCACAGGTATTCCTAGCTTTTCGGTACTGAGATTGTGCCTCATCAGTCCCCAGTAACCTAAATCTATCCCACATTTTTCTTCTCTTACGGAGAAGGATGCGGACCTCCCTACTGAACCATGGTGGAGAGTTTCTCGGCCCTCTTGGTACAGTTCAAGGGATGTGGGGTGTGGTAACTTTTAAGTATAAATTTCGGAATGCATCCCAAGCCGTTTCAATTGAGTACTCTGGGTCTATTGTCCAATCTACTAATGATGCCGAGTGCATGATATCTGGTATGCTTGCTTTCCAGACGTTAGTTCTGGATTGAGTTGGCGCTTGCTCGTGATTGACAGTTATATGGAAGTCAAAAGTTAAAACTTCATGATCACTTTTACCTAGGGGTGGCATGTAAAGGAGGTTCGCAACGTCATCCTCATAGTGAGTTAATATAAAATCTAGTAAGGATGATCCAGTGTCCGGGTCGTACCTAGTCGCTTCTTTCACATGTTGCACTAGGGCACATGTTATAACCACATCGACTAGTTCCTCCTCGAAGGAATTATGTGATGATTCGGTTCGCAGATTTCCCCAGTCTACCATAGGTGGATTAAAGTCCCCTAGGATTAGACATCGACCACTTCGCGACCAATATTTGACCCTGTTTAGCAGGACATCATTTACCTCACAGCTTGGACTGCGATAGAACAAACCAATTAGCAGCTCTTGCATCTTGAATTTCAAGCGGCGACTAACCAATTCACACGTCCCACTATCACGGGATACACTATCAATAATCACAAACGGGATAGCATTACTAATGAATAGAACTACTCCCCTTCCTTTACGCTTATGTATTCTGTCGGCCCAGACCAAAGTAAAACCCTCAAAATCGAGTTCCATACTATCTACAGACTGTGTCAGCCAGGTTTCTGTGACTGCTAATATATCTGGCTCTGTAATTTCAATCTGTTCACTTAGTTCCGATCGCTTATTGAGCAAGCTTCGGGCATTTGTGTAACAGATCCGTAGCCTATTTAAGTGGCTTCGTGCTTCACCCAGAGTGCCTTCGGCATCATTCTCTGACGAAGCCTCACAACCCGAAAATTTACAATTTTCAGGTCCTTTTCGCCAGCGTCTAACCTCATTTGTAGTTCTTTTTCGGCTTCCCGTCTTTTTACATGGTCTGCCAACGGCAAGTCCTTTCGGATAAAAACTTCCGAACCCTTTAACTTATGTCCGTTCTGTAAAATTAAGTCCCTTTCATTCGAAGATTTAAATACTACTTTAAGCAGTCCAGATTGATTAGGCTTCAAGTTCGCTAGACTACCTAGTCTATACACATTTAGCAAGGTGACTCCGGAGATATTTTGAGTCATAATTTGATTAAGTAGCTGTTTTATCAGAACAATGTCATGCTCAAAACGAGTTTTTGGTTCAGAGCTTTCGCTCTCCTTGATCCTATGAAAAATAACTGATCTGTTACTGTGATCAGCCTTCGATTATTCGACTACTTTAGTGGGGGTAGGGTTCTCTTTTATATCGGTATATTGTTTCTTCCTTACAACCTGTACCCATTCGTCAACGTTGCTTGGAGAAGCAACCACAGTCGCGTCAAACATACTGTGGGATTCCGGAGGGTTTTCGATCACTTGGGAGGTCAGGTTTGGTGTCCCTTTAGAAACTGATCGAGCCTTGCGGTTGCGCTTCTATGTGTTTCTTTCTTGATACCATTTTGAGGACAGACCTCTTTGGGGACTGTTCTCTCTCCTTTGGTCGGTGCGAGTCATCTGTTTTCGAACTCACTTTACTTTGCCTCACGCCAATTTTCGTGTCAACGGAGCGAGTACTTGTTGATGTGTCGCGACCACTCTTGCCAAAACATTTTTTAGAAGCACTAACCAATGAGATGGCCTCGGTTAGTAAGCTGTTAGCGTCCGAACAGCACTGTTGACAGAGCCATACGCAACCATTCTTACTGAACCGTTTGAAAGCTGCAGGCGTTAAATTAGTGCAAACTTTGTGATACCAGCCTTTGCACTCATCGCACTGCATGCCGCTTTCAACAGGATAACGACTTCCCGAGCGTTGGCAATTGCTTTTTTTGCACTGTCCACTCATTTAAACATGGCTTTTTTTAAAAGAACTAGAAGCAAAAATACTCAGAGACAAAAATAATCTATGACCAAAAAAAGTGGGAAACTGTGGGTCGTTAGGACCAAAAGTACTAACAGATACAATAGAAAAACAGAGTACTCAAAAGTACTGACAAGAAAAATACTTCAGAAACAAAAACGATAATTTAATCGAATACTTTAACTGAAAGAAACTCAAATAAAGTGGAAACAGTAGTTTCTATAAGTATAAACGATCAAAACAATATAATTTACTCAGCGAGGAAAAATGCCACTGTCCTTTTTGAATAGCGCGCCTTTCGTAATTAGTTGAAAAATTTTTTATTTTGTGAACTGAACTTGACAATTTTGAAACCGCCTGCATATCTTATATCCATCTGTAAACTTGATGAGTCTATTATCAGCTATGGTTTTGTATATTTGACAGATATATGGATTTTAGCACATTTGATGCAAAATTAGTAAGATTTGTTAGATTTATAAGGCCATGTGTAGTATTTCAACAAGGTACAGAAGTATCAGATCATGTTTGGCTCAACACTCAATATGCTATGGATATTCTGAGTTTGGCAACGTTGCTGTCCGTAGCGGCTTTATAATCAAACTGGATCAACCATTTTAAAACAAATGTCAGTGATGGATTAGTTCAAAGATATATTGGAAGGTTGTCGTTGTGTTGAGAAGCGTTTTAATTAAACCCGCTCAAGAGAAATACATCACACTGCTTCCTCACACGTGCCTAGGCTTGCATACGTGACTGATGAATTTCAGCCTGAGTGTGTCCAGTGAAAGTAATGAGGTCAGCAGCAACGTCGAAGATCAACAGCACTTGTAATTTTAAGGATTTATTTTAGCCACGTTTTCAAGGAGAAAACATAACAAGTACTGAGAGCGGCATTGTACACAAAAATATTGACACTTGTTTTATTTGTACCATGTTCTTATAATTTAATTCACAGAGAGAGGTGTTAGTGAGCCTAGCTTATCAGAAACGGAAGCTAGTTAGGCGAGAGCTGCTCATATCCCTGACATATTCCTCGAATCTTTAGGACATTTGTTTTTGTGTATTTACGTGCTTCAAACATTTTAATGTTTCGATTTACTTCAAGCCGATATTTTAAACTAGTGCAGATGAAAAATTTTAAAAGAATTCAGGTAGTTGCATCGTGAGTTTCAATCGATGTGCATTTTGTTTAAGTTCATCTGACAGTTTAAACAAGTACGAATCGGTGTGTTTAATGTGTACTGTTTGAGGTAGGCGGGTTGTTCTAAGTTCTTGGCTCTAGTGCTAACGGTGTTGAGTTTTAATGTTGCGCTTTGCAGGTTGAAACCACTTGCTATGTAGTAAGGTGTCCCTCTCTTTTCACGGTGTTGAGATTATCAATTCTTTCACCGGTACTTTTAATTGGAAGCTATCGTTTCAACCTCTGGTTTTCCACCTATCTTCTTACAGTTTGGAATCATTGATTAGGATTAGGCTTCGTCATATGATTTGGGATCTTCCAAATTATATTTCAACTTAAACTACTAATCGGGCCGGGCTTCGTATCTTGACAAGTTTACCAGCCGGTCAGAATTGAATAAGCGTGTTGTCTGCAGTAAATATAGACGTAATGGTTTTTACCATGTTAACACCTCTTTCATTTCGGCATATAATGCTTTTGAAAAAATTCTAGTTACTGATTGTTGTGAGTTATGTGTGTTTTCGCTGTTGAATGGCAAGTAGTTTTGCCAAGTATATCATGTTCTCTTCCGTTTGTAAATGCTTTTCACAATAAGTTGTCCGGTCAAGTGTTTCCAAATCATTATTGTCGCTACTGTTGACATAAACAGGAAGAGGGATATAAAAGTGGTGTGGTTTTGTGGTGAATAGGTGATGACTGGTATAGTGTAATAAGAGCTAACCAAGATAAACTTAATTTCCTATGACAATTGTTTGGGATCGTTGCGTCACCAGAGTTCCTATACTAGTTTCACACACCTTAACGGCTCTTCATTCAGTTGTAATGACTGTCTATTTGTTTGTCGTTGCAGGGTCTTTTGCTTCAGTGGTTTTTCGATTGTCGTTTTTCTCTTTGGTACTTCTATTGTGGAGAGTGATTAACCGTACGTGTGAAAATATGAAAAAGGAAGCATCAAAATAGGTTACTTACAAATAACTGAATGCACGAAATTCCTTATAAACTAGGTCGACGCGAAAGCAACTAAGTATTTACATGAATATAAGTGGTCTTGATTGCTGTTAGAGATGTGATGGCGGTTATCACTTCCCGGTTGCCCACATCGTGGAAGGGTTCTTCTGGAGATACCTGAAAAGGAAATTGGATTAGAGGTGGTCCTAATGACCTGCGAGCGTGACAGCAGTGCCCAAAGGACAACTGCTTGACGTCAGTCACACACGACCTTTTCGTGGGGAGTTTTCGTGTTAGCTCCGTACTTGTTGAGACCTTACTGCCGGAGACTGATATCCGTGGGATAAGGCTAGGTGTGCATTTTTAGAGTCGACCTTTTCTAACCACACCCCTCCTTGTGGGAAGGCAGCATCGCTGTCATGCTGGTTGTCTGAAGGAAACACCTTACTGTTGTCACACCTCTGAACAGTCAGCAGTACGACTTCGCCTTCGGACCTTGTGTTTGTTGCTTCTAGTCTTACGTTCTTCAACCGACTTGTCTGCTATAGTAGGACCTTGAGGAACGATTGTTCTAGCCAGTTAAGCTCGATTGTTTCATCACGATAGGCAAGCCCGACCACCTCGTCGGGAGTATTTACATGGGCTTACATAGTATGTGACAGTACTTCCATCTAACCATAGTATATTACGAGACGGTAGAAAACAGTCAAATAATACTTTTCGCTTACTGCTTTCATTTAAGTCTCCTTACAGCAATTCGGTACGTAACTTATTTCACTATCTGTAACGACTTCAAATTTGAGCACTTATATTCAGTTGATGTCCTGTGGGTTTCATGATGGCGTCTAGTTATTTTATCAACAGCAAGCAACAAATGTGTTCACTAAATTATCCTGTCACCTCAATTATTTATTCTCACAGTTTCTCACTTGGTCACTCAGTCAATATCATTGTTCAGGCTAGTTTCTATATTGATGTGTCATTTCCCAGAAAAAGCTGAACCAGGCCTTACATTGCATAAATGTCATTAGCATCTTTTATTCCCCTGCGTAACTACCTGGCCAACCTTTACCTTAACTGTTAGTGACCCCTGTTCCAGTCTAGTAGTATTGATCTCCGTGACACTTGAAACGGAAACAGCATTCGTAGATATTTTATGGACATTTAGAGGTCCATATGACAATGGTTCAGATCGAAGTAGCTAAAAGTTCCCATCACATTACAACATTAACATATGAGCAAAGAATATTTGATGGGATTATAACTTATCGACGACCTTTAAGCAACATTTACGTGATGTTTAGAATGTTCTCCTACTTACTGTGGCTAAATGACGGTTATGAATCTGTGTGGGGAGTCGGGATCATGATTTGCAGTTGATGGTTAGAATTAGGAATTAAATATAGGGTTTTTGTCTCGAGCTAACATCTAAAATGCCGAAAAGCTACGTAGCAAACATGGGTGAGTGAATTTCGCGCCAAAATACAAGATCTGTCATATTGAGTCTGATCGGTTCGTCCATAAATTAGTGCTGCTAAATATTCTTTTAAAAAATAGATTTTCTTTAGACTCTATCGTAGTGTATTCAAATAAATAATCCAAAAAGTATCCAGGTTTGAGGCGAATTACATCGTTTAAAATTATTGCATGTGAATTTAGGATATACAATAAAATTTCTGTTGAAATTACTAGTTGGGAACGTTAACTGGAATAAACTTGCATATTAGATGTGATTGTAAAATTAATGGTTTTACTAAATATGGATTGAATTGGGTGAGAGAATTTACTGGAATGGATATTATTTGTCTATATATTGGTGTTATAAGTAACCTCGTCAGTATGTAATGCCTCGTTAGCCAGTGTTACTATCCTCTGTTCTAATTCTAATATATCATAATCGTTTGAACAGCATATTATCTCCTTAAGCGACTACGGTAAGTAGCAAAGTGATTACTTTCAATCCTGTACTTCTAGTTTTGACGATTATTAGTTTCAGTAGGCTTTCTTATAAATCCATATGTAAATTCCTAGTTAAGTTTCAATGGATGTGGTAGTCTTTTTGAGATCTTACAAATCGACTGTGGTTAATAGTACACAAACAACTGGCCATTATGCAGTCTTGGAATATGTTGTCTAATCTTCGATTCGGCAAAATCCCTACACTAAGCATTCAAATCAACCCTAATTGCCTGATAGTTTGGGGCCAACTAGTCGACCTAACTTGAGCTCTTTATGAATGATTTAGAGATAACATTTACATGTAGTCATAGGAACTTTGGATAGTTAAATCAGTTGTCTAGTTTTAAACGAAATACAGCCGTTTCGAGTTCAATCCACCTGTAATAAATGTTTGACATGATATTGAAGATGTCTTTTCTTTTGTTTAAACCATTAATTTATGCAGCAAAAATTTCTGGGAATGCAATAGCAAGTATTGGTTAGAATAGTTTTATGAAAATAAAAGTTTAATTACCACAGAAATATATTACACTGCCAAAGGTTTAATAGCCAATTGCAAAGCTTCACTCCTAGTTAATCGTCCTTGTGTCACAGACAGTGTTGTACGAACAGCCTAGAGTGGCTTCTTTTTAGCTTTTAAAATACGGTAAGCACTAATGATTGACTCCGGAAGTCATTGGACTGATTTCGCAGGCTTACTGTCAAAAGCATTGTTCAAGGATAAGTTAGCTGATAGAGATATTATCATTATATGTTAAGACATTCAACACTCGCCACGCTACTCCCATAACAAAAAAATAACCAAATCAACATCTAATAGGTATATCGGCATGAGCCATACTGTGTAAGGACTAATGATAGCATTGTTAATGATTCAGTGAACTCCGTCTTTAAATGGTCGGTTTGAAATAACATAAAGTATGGTGTTTTAGGATCTGTGCTATCAACAATTTATGACACGAGGTTAGCATATTTAACTATCAGTATTATCATTTTGGGTATTATATATTTTACACGTGTTCTGGGTTTTCAGATGCCTCTTATTAGTACGAAGCTACATGTATTGAACCCAGTGTGGAGAAAAAAGAAACCCCGTGACACTGAGCAACACGAAGAACCTGAGCCAAAACCAGCATTTATCGTCCCAGAAACTCAAGAAATTTGTACATCTGCCGAGGAACTGCAGCGCAAAATTACTATATATAATGAAAATATATGGACTTGTCGTGTAACTGGGAAACCTAATTTGACCTATCGGGAAGCATTGAAAACTGAAGCAACTGCTATTCGCACATTACGAAAGTCTTTCCCCAAGTTTTTTGAAAAAACTATCCTTGAGCGCGTTCATCTTAGTAAGCTTATTTGCTCATAAATTTAACAATACAAAAGGTACTCAACCCCTGGAATCCTTAGTACACAGTTGCTGGACCACCATACATGAACAATTTCATATTGCTGAACCTGTGAAACTTAAAGTTGACTCTGTTTCGAATGCACCGTAAGTTCACTTGAAAATAAAAACATCGACTTAGAATACGTGGAATAATTGATGATATAATAAAATCTCAAACTGTACCGGTACAATGTAAATTTGTCCTAATTCATTCAATCTTAGACACCTGTTCCGGATAACACTTCACCGAATAATAGTGACAAAGAAAATGTGACTAGAAAAAATTCTCCAATCAAGGTAATTTTCAAACCTTTGTATAGTATTTTTCCAGAAAAACTACGCTTACAATGTTAAAGTCCTGTCGGATATCCCTGTTGTTGTACATGATGTTCCAGCCTGTTCCATTGAGTAAGATTTTCTAATAACTAGTTCTCATTCTTTTAGTCGTATCAACCGTGCACCTTCCAAAGACCATATCAAAATGTTTATTCGAAGTCATGCTATGCGTTATGGACCAAACTTTACTGGTCCATGGATTGTAAACGAAGAGCTTTTACGACGTCATAAAATACCTTTAAAAAGCCCCGGATGTCAAGTTGATAAAGTTAAGGTACGTCTAGTCTACTGTTAATGTTTAATCTACTCATGTAAATGCTCTTTATCCCCCAAATGCCCTGGTACGGCCGAGAGTGGGTAGAGTCCGCTCTCCCTCTCGAAATGCTCTCACATGGCCATGCGTATATAGCTTCTGCCAGGAAAGTCCTACTCACTGCCTTCTCGTGACGGGGGTGTTGTTTACGAAAATGAGAGGACGAAAAGCGAATGTCCGGCGCTTTAACCGGACCCCAAACCAATGGTGCACATAGGCTTTAGTATCCTGAAGGATCGAATGGCGTATGAACCAATTGTTGGTCACCGGCTACCATGGGACTGCATCTCCTCACGATGCTCCACTGCCTTGTGGGTCAGACGTTCAGGTCGAAGGCTCGGGGTGTGGCTGCCTAAGAAAACCACCTGCTTCGATTTGGGCACCCGAGCAGTATCACAGCCCTCACACAAATCAATTGAGATTCGTGTGGCGCATATGTACTTGGTGCCTCTCTGTACCTATGCTTATGTGTTAAAATAAATAATAAATAATACCTTATTTTCAAATAACCTAATAGTTTAGAAAACCTCATTTGATTGATACCAGGATTTATATTTCTCCGTTACTGATACGTAGGAATGAATCAGTCTACTGGCAATCGGTTACTAGTACTGATATCTAGAATGTACGCTGTTGCAGTCGTGTTTGGGTGTTTGTTTAAAAAAATAGTAGACTCGTTGGTTAAAGTATTTCTATTAAACTGCTGATTAACGATCTATGATCTTTACAACTTTGGTTTACTATCGATTTTTATAGTATATGCAGATTATCATATTTTTATCATCACTGATTGTTATAGTTAAAACAAATGTCCAAGGCCCTGGAGGAAGAATACTTTGTACGCGTTATGAACTCACGACGTCAGTCCAACGGAGAGGGTACATCAGACGATGTTACCTCAAGCACTCCACTTAATTTTAAACGTATTAAACGCTTTTCTGTTCTACGTGAAGACGACACTTCCAAGATGCTTGAAGAAAATGAAGACAACTTACCTCTAGCTCAGTTAAAAGATCGTTCTCAACTCAAACAATCATTGGAGCATAGTAGAAAGAAGAAAATGAAACAGGTTTGTTTCTGTAATACTTAGTTTTTAATTTGTGTTTATTTTATTTATGAACAAGTTCCAACTGCGAAATCTTTCGATTCGCTTCAGAAAGTGAAGTTTTTTCGAGACACTTTCGTCTATTTATGTTAGGTGGTTACTGGTATTCAGAGGAGACCCTGAACCTAGGTTTTGTGCCAGTTGGTTGATACTAGTCAACAAGGCGTACCTGGACTCTTTTGGAAACTGACTTCCTCCATCGGATTCAAACTCGCATCACCCAACTTCAAAGTCTAAGACGTTATTAATCAGCTACTGGGATGACTATTGACCTGTAGGACTAAGGTATTTATATTGATTGGTCATTAAGTAGTTGCCAACGTTATCTATACACTACAGGTTTGACTTTTCCTCATTTATTCGCACTGCCACTTTTGTGGTGTGATGTGTAAATTGCTGTTAAAACCCGGGAAAAGTTCTGCGTATCATTGGTTGATCGGTTCATGACTTCAATGAAACGAAAGAAATATTCAACATTTAAGAATACTGTAAGTTGTATATTTTTGGGTTTTCAGTCAGCCAACAGTGGTTCGAATGATTTATTCTGGTCATGATTTCTTCAAACAAAGTTTTCTACGGGACAGGGTTGCTAACTCCATCCCTTCTTTTCCCCGGATCGGGAACGAGAGTAACCGTAGAATGTCTACAGGCATAGCAGTAGACCTCGATATGCATAATGGAAAAAGCAAGATCTTCAAATACATCACAGTGGGCACCAACCCAATCACAGTTGATGGGGAAACTCTTGAAGAGGTGAAATCTTTCACGTAGCTGGTCAGCAGTACCATCGATTAACGCTTAGTATCCGATTGATACATAAAGGCGAGGATTGTCGAAGCAAGGACAGCATTCATACAGTTGAACAACATATGTAACTCAAAACAACTGTCAACCAATATCAAAGTCAGAATCATTAATACGAACGTCGAGACAGTTCTACTGTACGGAGTTGAAACTTGGAGAACTACTACAACCATCATCAAAATGGTACAAGTATATATAAACAATTGTCTACACAAGATACTGAATGTCCGTTGACCGGATACCATCAACAGCAGACTACTGTGGGAGATAACAAACTATCTTTAAATTGAAGAGGAAACTAGGAAAAGACACTGTAGATAGATATGGTATAGATTGAGATAATCACCAAACTGAATCCTGTAGGAGAAAGGTTTTCCCATTTAGCTTTGTTGAAAAAGCTACCTAATTATTAGTTTTACTGCAGTTTGTGTACGATAATCATGGTAAATTATTTTTTCCTTTTCATATTTACTTGATCAACACAGTCCACCTTATTTCAATTTGGTAAGAAAGCTCCTACGAAAGATGAAATATCAGACAAATCAACAATCAATCGTCCTAAAAAGAATACTAATGAAAGAAGTGCATTACCTCGAGTTGCTCAACATCTCATCAAAATGTTTGGGGAAGATCGTAATAATCCAGCCATAGAAACTCAGATAAGACTTTGTGCAAAATTCATAAGTGACATAGATATTCTTAGGTTGCCTGCTGAATTACGTGATCCTGTGCGATCAAAGAAAGAAGCGTTTGCGTTCAAAAAAAAATTGTAAGTTTAATCCAATCTTTCGAATTTCTGTATTATTGTGTTATAAACATGTACTGATTCGTTTGACATGTCCTAATACAATCTCTGATAGTGATTGATTAGCGAAAATAATGCAGCAGAATAGTGTGTAGCCAAGATATAATTGCTATAAATATAATGTCGATCTGTTTTGGATGATTTTAATAATCTCATTGGAGTTAAGTTTCATACGTGGAAAAGTCTGCACATGCGATTCTTCGCAAGCGTTTCGCTAACTCAAGACTACCGTTCTCATCATTCTCCAACACTTATACTTATACTTTCAGTACCTCTACCACTATGGGATTTGAATCGATAACTGAATCTCTGTGCTAATGTGGTATGGCAACTCGAACTGATGTACGTACGTACGAAGTTCCACGTTGTTACTGACTGACTGACTGATTCTACAACAACAGATATCTCTAAAAGTATCAATTAAATGTAACCATCGGTAGTTCGCTGTTTTTATGATTGGATCAAAGTGTTTTTGATGTGTTTCAATAAGTGTTGTAAATTTATAATTAAGACGTCTTGCATCGTTAGTTATTTTGTCCGAGAATTATCCTTCGAAAGTCATCTTGTCTTTCCCCAATCTCATCTACTACAACTAATTTTGCTAATACTTTTGGTATTCTTGGTTTTCTTTATAATTCCATTCCCTCTTTGCCGACCTGGTGTTCGTCTTGTTGTTGCTAATGAGGTGTGACAACTTGGACCAATGTATATGTGTGCCTGGTCCTACGTTGTAGCTGACTAACTGACTTGGACGACCTGGTGTGGTAACTTGAACTGATCTACATCTTTGGCAATTTTAATGTAGGTTACGACCGACTAATGATTGACTGTTGTTCAGGCACTCATTTCTTATTTTCAGCGATTAGATCCTCTTATTGAATATTTCTACCGAGAGTAACTCAGTTGCTTCAGCTTCTTAAATTGCCTATTCAACGCTTTTCTAAATGTTAAATACGCAAATATTTTTTCATTATCATACCTCTCCTGTCTTTTAGATGGATTATTTATTGTGTACTATAAGTACTGTACTACTTGTAATGCTGGTTCTCAAGAATCACTTAATTAAACTCCTGCTTCGGTTTGGGCACCCGGGCAGTATCACAGCCCTCACACAAATCAATTGAGATTCGTGTGGCGCATATGTATTTGGTGCCTCTTTGTACCAATACCTATGTGTTAAAATAAATAATAATAATAAACTTAATTAGACTTTTAATTATTTACAATTTATGGACCTAGTATCGGGATCGTTTAACCTATGTTACACAGTTCTGTCAGAATAAGTTGTCTTGGAACAATTTTTAGTGAGTAACTTCGAGTCGGAAACATGAATACTGGTTTTGAAATGAAGTTTCTGGTTGTAAGCCATTTATTCATGGTAAATGAAGCAAATGAAGCATCTAAACCCCCCGTATCACCCTTGTGTTTCTGATTACACTAATTCTGGGCTGTGATTCAACCACTGAAATAACTCCAGAAAAAAGCTTGGTGACATGTTTTTCATTTCTGATGAAGTGCGCCCTGACTTTTAATACCTATATTTAATGTCCTCATTCTTATGATTTTGAATCTCTAGACTGGCTATGTCACCAACTCAACGAAAGGAAGCACTCCAAGAAATGAAAGAAAAACAGAAGATTGAACGTATTCATGCTAATAAATTGCTTGATGATCAACATCTTATGACCTCTTTGCCTCAGTGCCCTCGTTTACCTGAACCTTCCAAACTTGAACTTCCTCCTAGTTTCAACGAATCTTTGTTTGGACGCCTGCTAGGATTAACAGAATTTTTCCATGTCTTCCATAGTTTACTTGTTGAAGGATCTGTTGATGATACCGAGGTAGAGAACCCATCTGAAAATAATGTTCTGTCTGGCTTTTGTCGCTTTCCAGTTGAATCTCTTGTAGCTGGGGTTGGTGAACCGGGTTATTCTGATGATGATGACGGTGGTAATACTGATGAAGAAGAGGAAGAAGCTGGATTGACTGAATCAGATGCTCCACTTCCGAAAATATGTATAAAGTCATTGCGTCGTCTAGGATTGAAACGATTACTTAACGCTATCACTACAGATAATCCATCAGCCGGTTCCTATCGATCACTGGCACGTCCTCTAAGTGTCCTATTACGCTTGGTCTTAAGAGATGAACAAATAGGTGTAAGTATTATATATTATGTTAACAAAACTAACATATAATAATATTGTTTTAAACTAGGAACTTAACGTATTTCCATAACAGCATTTATTCACATACTATTCATTTATCTCACGATAAATTATAAAGCTCAATCGGTTTTCCATTTTCATAATGAAGGAATTGCAACCTGTTTATCACCTTCACATTCGTGTCTCTGAAGTACACGACTGATTGAACTGTATTCGAAGAATCGGCACTTCATTGGCCCCTAGTAATACTTTAATTTGTGTAATTATGTCGTCTTTTTATTTCCTATCGCTGTAACCTGCTTTAAGTGTAAGATTTCCCTCCTGAGACTTGTAGCAGGAAAAGTATAATCCTTTTGATATTCGGATGCTTATTTTTTAGTTATCTGTATCTCATGATGGTTGAAAATAGAAATAAACTTGATTATGAATTACATTTACAGTCAGAGTTGTAACCAAGATTATTTTAACTTTCGAATGAACTTCAATAGTGTTAATTATATTCTTTTTATGCGAATCTCAGCTCTTAGCTGGAAACTAGCATATTATGGTTAAAAACACCAGTTCATCTTTTATGGTTTGATCTCGTTAGTAGATTTACTCTTCGCTCAAAATGATACTGTGCGTACCTTGGATTCTGAACTCGTACATGTTTTCTGCACTATAATTTTTCATCATACCATCGTGATGCATCAAAAAAGCGAATGACGTGAACGATCCTCTGAGATTCGCAATAACTATCATTACGAAATCCAAAAAAAATTTTACAGCAAAGAAAACTTTTCTCATTGATTTCACTTTCCTAAAAGCTATAAAGCAATTGTGCCTGTATTAATTAATTTATGTTAGTATCAATCCTTGCATATTAGCTTGGCCGTGTTCTCTCAATGAACGAATCATTTAACTGACTCGATAGTGTTGTAAAATATATAAGAAACTAAATATCAAAGAGGAATGCCTGCAAATTGAAAGATTATGGTTTGATATTTTAAGCAGGTTGGTGAAGGTCATTCACTAAATATGTAAAGGATTTGATTAAAGGTAATAAAATAATGCATGAGTGAATGAAATTAGTTAATCGAAGTAGAAAGTTAAGGAAGGATAAAAGAATGTATATAATTGAACGGTGAAAAAACAATAGAATATGAATTAAACCCAGAAGAAAATATAGAAATGTAAGGAAAGCGACCACACCAACTGTTACTGTACATATAAATTTGACTACATTGCGTATCCCTAAAGTTTGTGCAATCAAAAATATGTCTAGGCATTCATTTTTTGGTAGATTTGGTTAGAACTTATTAGTAATCTCAAGTGATATATCCGGTATTGTGTCCTTATAATTAATTACATTTTGTAGAATATAAGATTCCACACTTCATTGTTTTTCACTGAACCATGCTAGAAGGTTACTTACTTGCATATACGTACTAACATAAGAATTTTCTGATCACAGAATGAGATTATTGGAAAGCTCAACATCGAGTATTAATTGTAGTCTGGTTTCAACCGTAAGATAACCGAACTTTATAAGCATACTATTGCGTTGTGCTTACTAATCACTTGGTACATACATAATCCTAAAATTAGTATTAGAAAGGTAATCATAAACTTTTTTCCAAGTAAAACGATCATTTATTTTAGTCCAATAATTCTTTTTAATTCTCAGAAAAAACGTGAGTTGGGCTTGAAATTGGCTAAATTCCCAGTTACACCGTATACAGCTCCTGAGCTCCTTAGATTGACTCTTTTAAACGAAATCCCATCAAATTATGCTAGGACAACCATATTGGAACAATTACGAAATCGTGATGCTCCAGTCACCGATCTTAATGTAAGTGTCAAAATGTTTCTTGTATGTTATTTGGTCTGTTTGAGCAAGTGCTAGATACGATATTATTTTCAGATTATTGATTTGAGCCTTAATCTATTTTAAAACTAAGATAAACACATGATTAAATTTAGTACAAATCCTTATGTTCCCTAAACATTAAATAAGTACAAATAATACAGCAATCGAAAACGAATAGGGTCCCTTTTAGAAATCGCCTACCGATAAATCGAACCGTATTGGATGACTCATTCACTGCAGGGTAACAGTTAAATAACAAAACAAAGATTAAAGTTTAAGGTCAAGCCAGGATATACTGTTGATTGGTCGAATCGCTCATTTTTCAAACACTAAACGTACAATTCTTCCGAGTAATTTGAAGTTTTTATCGTTCTGAATACAATTATAATGTATACAAATACCAGCTTTCGTCATACTGAAATTTCTATGCAAATTGGGTTTGTATCATATTCTGGTTTCTACAATCTTGGGGTTCATCCTCAAAGTATAAGGATTTAGTCTTGTTTCTGAATCAATGGATCTAGGACAATGTAAGAAGCAAAAACGCACATTTATACTGAGTAGCATGTATGCTTATTTGATCTCGTTAAGCTATTATCAGTTACTTACAACCTTTTGTAGAAGTGAAGCTGGACTAAAGTTAATGTTAACATGTCAATCTAAGTGAACTTGAATGGTGTTATAGGCGTGTATGCAGTTGCCAGTTTCTTACATCAGGAAAGATCACTTTCTTAAAGTGTCTAAAAATAAAAACTTGATTGGTGATTAAAGAACCCAAGGAACAGCTTCTTTAGACCGGTCAAACAGTCTTATTGAGTATGGTACTTGTTATGTTAGCTCTATACCCTAAAAGTTCTACCTCCGGTGACAAAAATTAGAAGGGGTGTTGTTGTGTTTAGCGCCGACCTTTTGTAACTCGCCCCTTCGGATGTGGAAAACGAACCACTGCAGATCTTTGTTTTAGGCAGACGTTTTGTTATGGTCACACCATAGAACGATCGGGAGTACCACTTTGCCACGGGACCTTAAGTTTCTGCTTTTAATCATATATTTCACCAGCGGATTTGTTTATATGAAACGATCTAAAGGAACAAGTATTCCAGTCGCCATAATTCGGTTTGGCCGTCACCACTTCAAGTGAACGGCTGAGAATTTTTCATGATTTTCGTGTCATCCTTTCCCAAGGATCATAATCATCCCTGTCTTTTCTGAATCTTGGTGTATGTACACCGGCGGGACGAGTATGTACATTAACATAGTGAAGCAAGGATCCTAAGAATCTATATCGAATAAAAAATTACTCTTATTTATCATTTCTGAGGATTACCTCTGGAAAATACGTTAGAACGCTTACAAAAACCCTTTAGGTTTGAAATAAGCCATTATTCAATTAATTTGGAATAAAATTCAGAGTCTTTTGATAGCACTGAGCAACAATCCCAGGATATTTGGGATGCGCTTCTTCCCCTCTAAATGCAAGTTGTTGCTTCAGGACCGGTCTATGCCAACACCTGAACCAAGGATAGGGAGTGAAGTAGTCGAACGCGTCGATTACTTCACTTATTTCGGAAGTCTGATCATCCCTAATGGGTTTGTGTCTGACGAAATCTCTGCACGGATTCGAAAAGCTCGTTTGGCTTTCATCAACTTACGACACCTATGGTGAAGGCGAGATATCCGTCTATCAGTTAAGGGACGAGTATACTGTGTGGCAGTTCGTTCTGTTCTATTTTACGGCTTCGAAAAGTGGCCATTAAGAGTAAAAGATACTCATAAGCTACAAGTATTTGACCACAGATGCCTTAGAAATATTGCTGGGATCATCGGGTATGGAATAGCGAGGTTAGACCCAGGGTAATAGGTAATGATGGTAAATCAGTTGATGAGGTTGTAAGTTTTCATAGACTGAGATGGTTGGGCCATGTGTTGCGTATGCCTGAACACCAATTACCACGACGCGCAATGCTGATTGTTTAGGGAATGGTCGGAAGAAAGTTAGATGCGGCCAAACCCAAACGTGGTCTTGAGTGCTGTTAAAAATATGAGGCGTTTATGTACTCTCTGTCTTCCCTTAAAATTATGAAATTAAAATCGTTTCATATCTTTCTACGCACTAATTCTTTCTTACTGTTCTATATCTTTATATGCAATCTTTCTTTTATATATTACCATCATTGAGTTAACTACTTCTATGAATCCGGTGTTCATTTTGCTGTGCCAATGAGGTGTGGCAACTTGGACCGATGCATGGATGTGCCTGGTCCTACGTTGTAATTGACTGACCTCAAAGTAAAGTGCAAGAATTTTTATTTAGGGATTTAGATTAATATATTTCACAACTTATTTATTTGCAAAGGTAAGTACTGTTTAAACATGGACACTGAAATGCAGACAAGCCAGCTGACGAATTTCAACCACAACGAACAGTGTTTCCTGCCTTCCACTCACAACCATAATACAACTCTGCTTCAGAAGGAAACACGGTTTTCATTTTAAACACCAGTGATAGTCTGCCTTTTCTGTATATATTCTTTTCTTTTATATAATCACTTTCGATTGAGTGTATATCTAGAAATACATTCATTTTCAACTTTTTTTGCTATTTGACCAGAATTCTTCTGTGACACAACTTATACACCACTTATCCAACTCTGATCTACATGAACTATTTCCAGAAATACGTGTAATAGCGTTGGAATGGGCAGTGGATAAAATTTTCGATCTTGATCTTATAGATGATCATATTATGGCGTGTCAACGTCGTGCAGCTGATGCTTGGCAAAGGAAAATTCAAGTATTACGTGATAAAAACTTACGAAAAAAAGACAAAAAAGATAATGCAAATGAAGCTAACAAAACCACCAGTAACAATAATAATAATATATCTACCAATCAACTTGATGAGTCAAAGTCTAAAACAGACACTCATACCACTACTGCTGAGGATATCACAGAATCTGAAAGTAAGTTGTTCCTAAAAATGATTTACTCGCTTGTTTAAATGAAAAAATAATGTAAAGAATAATCACAGCGTAATAGAACATTTGACTTACATATCTGATTAAAATAAATATGAAACAAACACTTTAAACTGTAACTATTGACCATTTCAGATGACTTAGCATCAATTGTAAAACGCAGACGAATTCTAGCTGCACGAGCAGCAATAGAAAAAGAAGAAAAAGAAAATCTGGAACGTCAACGCCGTCTGGAAATGGCTCAAGAACATGCTGAAGAACGTGCAATCAATACAATTAGTCGACTTCATGATATTCGGTCTACAGAAGCAAAATGTGTTCTACGAAACAACCCTATTGGTTATGATAGATTTTATCGTCGTGTATGGTATTTCCGTTGTTCTCCAGATCGTTTGTTTTTGGAGGCTAATTGGGCTTCCTCAAGTATCATGTATTCGGTTGATTCATTTAGAAGTAATTAATATTTCCTTAATATATAAATTTATGTAATTACTTATTTATTTGAACGCATAAATATTGGTATAAAAGAGCACTAAATATATATGTGCCACACAAACCATCTTATTTGTGTGGATGCTGGAATACTTCCCGGGTGCCCAAACCGAAACAGGCGGTTTTCTTAGGCGGCCACTCCCCGAGGCTTTGACCCGAAGGTCTAACCTACAAGGCAGTGGAGATACAGTCCCATGGTAGCCGGTGACCAACAATATTTTCATGCGCCATTTGTTTCCTTAGGATCCTGACAGTGGCTGTATACTCGAGGTCGTGTGGAAGTATTTCGAGAGGGAGAGCTGACTCTCCCCACTCTCGGCTGTACCAGGTTGTTTGGGGGCAATTTACGTATTGATATGATACATTTAAGTGGTTTACTGCACTTTACTTTTTCATAGTTTCTTATACAATCTAGAATTCGGCACGCTTTTTATTTGTAGAAAATGAATCTGTCCCAATTACCACTTTGAGTGATGAAACAATACCACAACCTGCTCATGATTTTGTAAAAAATGACACGTTGGACAGTGGAACTATTTCAAGATCCTGGAGTAATTGGTATTTTTATGACCGTCCTGAACAGTTAGATGAATTGTTAAATTCATTGCTAACTTGTGGTGTTCGAGAAAGTCATTTAAAAAGTCAGTTATTGGCAGATGGATTTCTGGAATCACTTAAAAAAAGATGGAAAAGTGGTCTCTCAAATGAATTGGTAATTAAAGCTGACACAACGAATGGTACTCTTGTAAATGTAGAAAAACATCCATCTTATCGTAAACGGTAAGGTTAGGATCATTTATGGTTCCATGGCTAGTTATCTATTTATTTCATTTTTTTTCAGCATAAACGTTACATATTATAATAATTATTTTAAATATCGATATGTTTCGATGTTTCACTTCAATATGGATATAGTTGTAAATAGCTGATGATAAACCGTGAAGTTAAAAGAATTCGTATTATTCTGGCTTCATTCAAATTTCTATACATGGACTAATTATATGAAACATAGCATTTAAGTTTAGGTATCCTAAACGTTTTGCATTTTCCATAAATATGGTTTTCTTATCATTTTTCTATTTAAAAACTATTTTCTAATCTAATCTTCATTTTATATGGTACTAGTAACTAAGTCGGTGTATGTATATACGGGTTCTGGCAAATTGTATTATTTGTAGTCGTTTATCAGTTGCTTAATTGGCGGAACAACAGTCTATTCAGTCTCGAGTTAAAACAACAATTTATCAGTACAATTTGTTCTATTTGATTTCACGTCCCAAAAATCTGTAATAAGAAAAGGGAAAACAGTCTAGCTATGACATGCTAAAACTAAGGAGTAATTTTGTATTTTTTTCTTCGTTCTTGAATAGCTTGATGTTTAACTTGCGTAGTCAATACCCGTTGATGAGGATTTGTATTACAGCTTCGAGTTCACCTGATTAATTGCCGTGTTAGACTCTAATTTTCAGTCAGTCTATGAATACAGTGTTCCTGAGTGCTGTTATCACTTCCCCGTTGCCCACATCATGGAAAGGTTCTTCTGGAGGTACCTGAAAATGAAACTGAATTAAAGGTGCTCTTAGTGACCTGAGAGCGTGACCGCAGTGCCAAAGGGACAACTGCTTGAGGTCGGTCACATACGACCTTTTCGTGTTAGCTTCGTTTTTGTTGAGACCGTACTACTGGAGACTGATAATCGTGGAAAAAGGAGAGGTGTGCATTTTTAGGGTCGGTCTATTCTAACCCCACACCTTACTGCCGCCATGCCTCTATACACTCAGCAGAATGACTTCGCCTTCAGACCTCGAGTTTGCTGCTTTCAATCTTACCGTTTGTCCACTGACTTGCCTGGTATGATAGGACCTTGAGGAACGATTATCCCAGCCAGTATAGTCCTCTTGTTTCACCACAATAGGCAAGTTGACCACCAAGCCAAGGTAGCAATGACAATCGGGGACTCTAATTTTACACTATTTCAATTTAATTTGTAATGCTTTGGTTTTCTATGATTAACAAAAATGTAAAATATTTTTCTATTATAGCGATCTTCCTGCTGGAGCCGCTTTGGCAGGAGCATTGGTAAAAGTAAGTTTGATTACTTTTAATATGTGATTTTTTTAATTGTAATGTTACTTATGTTTTTTTTTATTTTTTAAATTTATTTATTGGTAGATACAAGTTCATAGAATTGTGTATTTTTCAAATAATTTTTTCATAATTCATATATGATAGGTTTTCATTGTTAGTTTCATATGCACCGTAGAACGCGATACACTTACATCAGCTCAAGCTACCATACCACACAAGGACGTCGAGATAAAATTACCAAGATAAATGTTAGAGTAATAGAAGGAGTAGTACTAGTATCAGTAGTAATGAAAAAGATTAGGTGTAGGCCAAGATATTTCGGGTCTCAGGTTCTAATGGAGGGAATAAATGCACCTACGCCACCCAATTTCTATCCACTGGTTATGACAGGTGCGTGGTCCAGAACCAGGTAATATCCACCTACCTACATGTCTCAGTCCAGCAGCCGATGACTTCGCGAACTGATAAATGTTCTGATTTGCCTGTCGTTAGCTTTCTTATAACGTACTACTACATTCGACAACGTTAATTGTCTGGGTCGTGGTTGATTCAACATACGTAACACATGTCAGTCACCTCAATTAATGTAAATTTACAACCTCATAAATTGATTTTGTCTTTAAGATTTATATTTTGTCTGCAATATACTGACATTATGTAAATAGTCTCTATCAGAAGGTCTTATTTATTTTTAGAATATTTTAGATACTGAGGTTCGTCTAAGATCCGGTGGTCTCGGTGGTGTACCAGATTTTACAAAATGGCAAGAGCGTTTAGCACAAATACAAAAATCCTATGGGATCCAACAAGAAACTCTTGATGTAAATTTGTCTTCAAAACCAAATCTGTCAGCTTTATCCAGTTTATGTGAATTGCCAGATAAAGCAGGACTTGCTATTGCTCTTATTGAAGTAGCTGAAAATATAATACCTCGCTTCCTAAACGTTCCTGATCTTTGCACTAAGTCGAAATTCAACTCTAATCAAAATGGAACAAATGATTGTCATGATCTAAAAAACTCTTTTCCAGATCATGCACCATTTGTTAGATTTTCATCTGGAGATGATTCAGACGCATCTGAAAGTAATGATCGTTCACAGGAACTGGAGAAAGCTGTTTTAGACCCTGAAGCTCATGAACTACGAACTCGTGCTTGGATGACAGCTTGGCGTACTGAAGTTCAAAACGCTCGTACACTGACCCGATTAAATCTCTTACATGTAATTTTCTGGAAAGCTCGATTTAGTTTAATTATATCTTCCTTTAATTTTATTGTTGTGGAAAATCAAAGTTAATCTTATTGAGTTATAAGTTCATATCAATTCTAATTAAACGACTAATGTGGACAGACATAAGTAGTATGTAGCAGGGATTAGAAGTAAAATACTTAGCAGAAGATCGAGATAGAGAAAAGGAAAGAAACAGAGCAAATGGATTAAAAGTGTGATTGATGATGCAAAGGACAACTCAAGATATATGTGCAGATGATGTATTAAATATATGATTTTCATATTTTACTAAGGCACTGTGTAATTTTGCATAAAACAATAAATTGGTTTTCCAATTACCTATGAAAAGAAAACATTAGTTTATCACTGGGGTTATGTACTTGGTTATTTATTATTTATATATTTATTTAAACACATTGATATTGGTACAAGGGGGCATCAGTTACATATGCGCTACACAAACCCCATTTGATTTGTATAAGGGCTGTGATACTGCCCGGGTGCCCCAACCAAAGCAGGTGGTTTTCTTAGGGGGCCACACCCAGAGCCTTTAACCTAAAGTCCTGATCCACGAGGGAGTGGAGCAACGTAAGGAGATGCAGTCCCGTGGTAGCCGGTGACCAACGATTGGTTCATACTCCATTTGTTCCTTCAGGATACTGGAGCCCATATGCACCATTGGTTTCAAATCAGGGTTTTCCAACTCCCCTAGATGAAATTTCTGTATCCATCAGTCCGGTTAAAGCGCCAAACATTCGCTTTTCGTCCTCTCAATTTCGTAAGCAATACTCCCGTCACAAGAAGACAGTGAGTAGGACTTCCCTGGTAGAGGCTATATACGCGTGGTCATGTGAGAGCATTTCAAGAGGGAGAGTAGACTCTCCCCACTCTCGGCCGTACCAGGGCATTTGGGTGCTATGTACTTGATAATAAAGTGATTATTATTATTGACCACTTGTAGAATGCTTTCATCTTAATAATAACTTGTGTTACTATCTTTCGATATATAAAAAGGTTTTTAGAGCGTTAACACACTAGTTCGTACATTTCAACCAACCGGTCACTCAATGGTTTTGTTCATACAACCTTGTAAATAATTTTATACAGGGGATGTTTGAAGTGTATATCTGCGTTTGTGATTTTTTTAATTCTTAAATCTGAAGTGTTTCTTTGGTAAAATTATTTTTTTCGTCTACTTATTATCAATATATCCGAATGCGTATTTTGCAAATAAATAAGGCGTTTTTCATTGTTATACTATACCAGCAAGCAGATACTATCCTTTTTATGAACATACACGATCCATTCGCAATTTTGTTTTAAGTACTGATGTGTGTCTCTAAATCACCCATGGATGATTAGGTACTTAGTGTTGATTAATTCCTGATTGACCTACTTTATGCAGTGTCAATCATATATTTCAATTGTTCACATTCAGATAAATTCTATCTGTAGTATATCAATCATTCATGACAAAATATTTTACAGTTTAACCAAACAATAATAAGTTATCCTCAATTCCTAAGCAGTATATTTTCAAAAATTCCAATTATTCAACAAACATTCTGTCTACTAACCGGGAATTTTAAGCTCCGTTTCACGGGAGGTTAATATTTTGCATGATGAAAAAATTCTTGTCCTTTTTAATGTGACATGCATTCACTTCTTTATAACTAGGCATGTCTGGATGCATGTGTTCGCTGGGAAAAGTCAGTAGAAGATGCGCGCTGTCGTATTTGTCGTCGGAAAACAGACGATGATAATTTACTACTTTGTGACGGCTGTAATCTTGCTTTTCATCTTTACTGTTTACGTCCACCATTAAAACGTGTACCAACAGGTGATTGGTTCTGCCCAACTTGTGGACCAGCCTCCCGTGCCCTTGAAAAACGTAAGCGTGAAGAACGTTTAGCTCGGTCTGCAAGACGACGGAAACGTGCTTTGTCATCTGATGATGAAGAACAATTAAATTCCGATAATAATGAAGAAAGTAGTGGTGAAAGTGAAGCTACTCAAAAAATCAAACGCCGAAATCCCCGTTCATTTCGATCCAAAGGCGGTAATGACTGTGGTGCGTTCAATATAAAACGTTCAGTTAGTCCAGCCAATCGTAATTCAGGTAAAATTTCTTTTTTTAAACTGTCTATATTGTGTGTTTCTGATTGATATTAATTCTGTATTTGTTTTCTTCAGGTTCATCTAGAAATATAAGACACGACACATCCTGTCTTGTTTGTTCAGATTCAATTGGGGATTTGGTTCTATGTTCCAACTGTCCCAATGTATTCCATCTAGACTGTCATGATCCCCCATTGCACCATATTCCACGTGGAGATGGTTGGCAGTGTTCCATTTGCCGATCAAATAAAAAACGTTCTACTATTACTTCTTATTTTCAAAGCAGAGATTATCGTCGAAAAACGTGAGTATTATTGTATATCATTATTACATTAATCACCGTATTAATCTAAAATTCACTAATGTATGGAATTATAACGATCGGTTATATAAATTACATATCGTTTCTTAACCAAAATATCACCTTGTTTCACTAGATAAAACCAAATTTGTGAGTACAAATTTTTTGTAAGATAAAAGGTCCAACTAATCAATTAAATATAAACTAAATATTGTTTTTTTCACTTCAGTAATTAATTAGTGTGAACTAAAAATCAGTCCACTAATTTTTATTTCACTCTCTTTTTTCTGCTTATATTTCCATTCCATATTCCGTATTTCTTCATTTATTTATCTATAGTTATCAAGCAATTTTCAAAAAACGAGCTGTCAGTCCAGATGAACGTAGCGAAGATGAATTTTTAAATAGTACATCTTTTACTCGTTCAACACGAAGTAACAATAGATCTCGAAAGAATATCTCAATGTCTGACACTGAGGATGAACAACAATCGAGTGAAGCATCTTCAGATGTAGATATCCGCTCTAATAATCAACGTCCAATTTCCCGTCGACGTAGTGCTTCTCGATCAGCGTCTGCTCTTAGTTCACAACTAAATAAATATCCAAAACGTAGACGACGACACTTGTCTGATCAGGAGGATACTTCAGAAACAGAACAAATGGACGAAAAGTCTCAATCTTTATGTTCACACATTCTTGATGCTGTGTATAAGCACAAACACTCATGGCCATTCAGAAAACCTGTTGATAGAAGTCAGGTAACGTTTTGAATGTTTTCCTTTCATTACAGGCATTCTTTTTGGCTGTATCAATTCCATACATCCTTTCATTATCAGTGATTTTTAATTCACTTAGTATAAAATGCATTTACGTTACACAAGTTCACGAACTCCTGTTGTTTTCTGCGTTTCCAAGTGGTTTGTGTACCAGTTAAAGCCACAATCTTTTCATCTCAGTACTACTATTCTAAATATGTTATGGGAAAGTTTGTTGTGGAATGGCGTAGAAGTACTACCTTTTCATTCCATTGATTTTTTTCAAAGGTCTTCTAAAAAGTTGGTTCTCATATTACTCCTTAAAGAGATTGTTTGGTGATTAAAGAAACAACATTGTTGTTTTTATGGTCCGATTCTTTCATTATCACGTTCCTGATGCTTGATGAACCAGTTATGGGAAGATAGAAGATATAGATTGGGTCCGATGCTTTCCTGTCAAAGTCGTATTATATGCTGAACTCGTGTCTATCTATGGGATCCCGTAATAAACTAGTGGATGATATAAAAAGGGCTGGTTTAATAATTCACTTACTAAAGCTGCCTCACATATGTCTCTCACCGTGTACCTTTGTGATAACTGAGTTTATCCTGTATATAACAGTACTCACAGCTTTCGTCCTGTGAGTTTCTATCATTCATGTCGTTTCAATTTATTATCAACTGGATTCATTATTCCCACTAGGTTCCCGATTATTATGAAATTATCACAGATCCTATCGATTTGTCCATGATGCGTGATTGGCTTTCTAAAGGACGGTATAACACGGAAACTACCAGCGCAGGACTGAAGAAACTAGTACATGATTTAGGTACTATGTTTTATAATGCCGAATTATATAATGCTGCTGACTCAGACGTTTGGTTAGCTGGAGAGCAGTTAGAAAAATTCGTGAAGAATCAGTTCGCTCATATAAACACAGGTGCGTTTTTGTATTCTGTGTGTTTGGTTTCAAATTCCCGAGCATGTGCTTTTATTTTGTTTTATTATGCCTCCCTCTTACTGTTGTGTGACCTTACTTTTGGTCACTATTACTCAGATTAGGCGAAAAACGAATTCACATGTACATTTGCATTTTGCACTTGAGTTGTTACTCAGTAGTCTAGTTATTTGACTTTCTACCACTACATTTTCTTTAGTCAAACAACATTATTTATTCCTCATATAAAGATGAAGGTAACCAAGTGCCTAGCTTTTTAATTACTTTATGTGAAGGTTAGTTTATACTACCGTAGCTATCCATCAGAAGCAGGCGGGGTAGAATTCAAACCTCCAAGCCAGTGGATAACCGTCAATTGCTTCAACCACTAAGGTCTTCGTACAACATAGAATTTAAAGCCTGATATATAAGTTGATAGTTGTTACATCACTATTATCTATCCTTTTACATAAAGCTCTTATATTGTCTTTCCAATGTATTTAAAAATAATCATTTTGTATTAATGCTAATAAATCCAATAATCTTTGTTGTTATCATCAACAGTTTTCTAGAAAAATTACTCCAATAACGAGCCCTATTAGTCACTGAGTTAAAGAGTGAATTGATATTCCTGATTATAGTTGTTAACTTGACGTGGTCGGGTTGGCTTACTTTGATGATTCATCGAGCTTTGTTGGTTGGAATACTTATTCCTTTAGTTACTACAATGTCAGACTGGTTCACTGAAGAAAGTAGAACTTCAGGTTTTGACGGCGAATTTCGTACTGCTGACTGCATTAAGGAGTATGTTGGTAGTGAGATGTTTTCTTCAAATAACCGTGGTCTGCAGCGGTGTCACCTTCACACAATGGAAGGATTGAGTTGGAAAATGTCAGTCCTAAAAATAACACACTTGTCTTATGGGTTCCCGCCTTCTGTGGTAACGCATGTAAAGTACAGAGCTAACCTATCAAGAACTACACGCGAAAAGAATGTGTATAGTGGGCCTATAACAATTGTCTCTTGTGCTTCAAGGCGTGAAGACAACTAGTAGTCCAGTTTTCATTTCTAGGTATCTCAAGAAGAAGCGTCGTTTTACGGTGTAGGGAATCGGGAAGTGGTAACCGCCTGTTCCCCTGTAGAAATTACTCGAGTTCATTTTTTACAGTCAACTCCTTTCGTTTGACTGCATTGATAATGTTATCACATTTTTCCAATTATTGAGTCTTCTCAGTACTCATTTTAAACTGACTAATCTCAACAGTGTTAGTATATTGTTTGTTATTCAAGTGAGCCTATCTGTAATAATTTCTTAGATTGTTGGTATATCAGTTACTTTATAAAGTGGGTTTTTCTCTTAGAATCTCTTTTGTGTATTCATTTGAATGCTTGCTTTCTTTTTTGAAAAAAGGTCACGTTTTTACCTTGTTATTAAAATATTTATAAACATTTTCTAATGGCATCTACACTTCATAAAACATCAGAAATATTTAGAATCAGTGAGTTTGAACCAACAAAGAAGGAAATCATTTCATTACAATTTTTCTTAGTAACTTAAAGAAGTAGGTAGGCGATTATGACTTCATACTTAATTGACAGTAGTGATGTGATTTTCATACTTGTGAATATGAACTTTTCAAGTAAATGCAATGTTAGATTACTATAATTTTTTATCAACTACTGTCGTTGAATCTGTGTACTCATAACTGTTTTAACGATAGTGATCACTTGTAATGTCCCAGATATGATATAATATGGCTCACCATATGTTATTACTTGATGATCAAATACATTTAGATTCAATTTTGTTAACCGTATATTAATATGTTGATCAAATGAATTTACTAAGCGAACAATCGCTGTTAGAATAAATTTTCTCTCCTCCAAGGCCCAATAAGCAAACAGGAGTCAAACATCTAATCTTCTCCCTATATCTCTGGCTTCAAAATTCATTTGATTTAATACATGATTTACAGAATCAAAACACACCACAAATAAGAAACAGCGTGTAACATAGATAAAAGATTTAAAACACAAGATTGGAAAGCATTAATAATATTCATATGCTTAATCTGATGTAGTTGGGGAACAGAGTACAATAGGACACCAATTAATGATTAAAATGAAACCCTTTAATGTGGGACATGTAGAAATTACATGAATTAAATGCTACATTATGAAATAGGTGTAATGAAATCTTGAAAGTAACTTTTAAAGTTTGTCTTTGTTTTTTTTTTTACTCGTCTCATCTCAACCATTGTTCTTGCGTGTGTGCATATGTGTGTGTTTTTCCTATTTTTCGTTTAGATGTTATCTACTCTAGACCAGCACTTGGTGATGCATGAATATTAATAATCGTATTTGATGAAATTACCATTGATATTTTTTGTGGAAATATCTGTTTGTTTTTTTGAATCATTTTATGTACGCATAAAGCAATAATCTAAGTCAAGTTTTGATATGTGTGTTTATACTATTTCTCCTGTTAAACAAATTTACAATGATTCGATTTAAACAATACATAATCTTCTTATTCATTTTTATTATTATTATTATTATTATTATTATTATTATTATTATTATTTTGACTATCAGCTTATTCTCTATTTGTCTTTTTTTATTTTGTCAGTGGATACTATAAGTGTATGCATTTAAAATATAGAAAGAGAGAAATATATATATCTATCTATTTTCTAGTGTGTTTTTGTTTCAAACGTTTTTTTTAAAAATTATTTATTTAAGTTAAGTTGTATTCGAATTAATAACATTCAGTGAAACAGTTTGGAATATTTTTTTCTTTATTCTGTTTTTCCTCTAATTTTTCTTTCGGCTGTTTTTTCTTTCTTTAAAAATCATCAAATCACTTGTGCTCAAATTTTTCAATGTGTGCTTCCTTTGTGTATATGATTGATAATTGTTCAGTTACTTCATTTCTTTATATACTTGAAATATTATTGTAGTATTTTTTTTCTCACTTGCCCTCCCCCTCTCTCTGGTTCTCCCTTTTCTTGTTCGCATTCTTCATGATATATATATATATATGCAGGTTTGTACAGCCTTATTGTACACTTTCTCTCTCTCTTTATATATATATATATATATATATATATATATATATATATATATATATATATATATATAATTGATTCTTGTAAAGGTATATTTTATTTGTCCCTTTTTATGTATATCTGTGTCACAGTAATAATTTGTCTACAATATTGTCATGACGTATTAGTAATGTAACACACATTTATTGAATTATCCTCTTAAAAAAATAGCTTGATTTTTAATAAACAAAGTATTCCTATTATTATCGGTTGTGAATTCATTAAAAGATGGTATATGCACATATCATTGTTATTTTTAGCATTTATGTGTTATTGAAATAAACCATTTTAAGCAAGAAATTAATAATGTAATAGAAATATCTGGAAAAAATAACTGGCGGATTTAAATGATATAGGCGTATAATATTGATAATTATTAGATCAATGTACTGCACTATGTTAGGACAGCAACGTAAGATCAGCTTTATATCGTGTATACAAGAATGAATATTAATGGAAACATTGATGAATATCCTGTGAGCAAGGGGAAAATAAGGATGATTGTACACTAAATAACTCCTGTTTACTCAAATCACCAGCTTTTATAATGTTACTATCAACAAGATGAATGTTCATAAATTTCATAAGCTCATTGTAGATAGAATTCATTTTATTTGTAATGTGTTGAACTGACTTAGGATTTGCGTATTTTACCTAACAGAACACTTCATTTTGTAAGACTTATCCTTTGTCATTGGGGAACAAACTTCAGTGAGTGGTCCATTCATTGACGTTACTATCAACTTTCAAGTCTTTTAGTTCCAACTAAAGGTCACTAGTCCATTCAGTGTTTAAAAAGTGAAACAATGAGAAAGCTTTCATCCTAAAGCGTGCGAATTCATTCTTGAGTACGGAGTTTCAATAAACGTAATGGTGTTGAGATCCTGGGAAACTGTCTATGTTTGCTGTTAGGAAATAAGTGTAGTTGTAATCCGTAAAGAAGATTGATTTCATAGATTATTATTTTCATATAAAGTTCTATATTCCCTTAAACGAATTTTAAATCAATTTCATTCTGGATGTCTTTGCACATATTTCTACATTATGTAGTGGGTTTCATAGAACCCAGTGTTAAACCCTAATTTTCATTTCTGTTACATCTAAATGCGTAATCGCTAGAATAGTCCTTAGAAGTCCATACGGGTTGAATTTTATATTGGGAAACTTAAGTTACTAACGTCCACGTTCAGAATATAAAAATATATATAACTCGTGTTTAACTTGAATAATGTTGATGTAATAGAGTAGTAGCTCTGATCTTCCAACCTACTTGTTTATTAACATAATAAAGCATCATCTGAAGCCTAAGACTACTTTGTGCAAAACCGCAAGTAGTTTGGTAGACATATTTGTATGAGTAGTCAATCAAATTATGTGTTAAATGACTGATTTTCGTCTTAAAGAATACTTGATTTCATAATCTACAAACTAATCCGTTCAAATTCATGAATATCACAAAAAAATTTTTTCTTACTAAGATAAAAAGACGTGTTCGTAGAATATTCATATAATGATCTGGTCGAATTAACAGATCATCTGAGGCTGGTAAATCAATTCGTGTTATGATTACCAAGTGATCGATTAAGATAGTCTGATTGATTGCTACCGCTTTTAAACATGGTAAAAGCTAACTTCTCATTGACGATTAACAATGTTAGCTATTAGATTGTATAGAGGTGTCTCAGTGATTAGAACGTTAAACTTTCAACTACTAAGTTGTAGGTTTGGACTTCTCTCCATCTGCTTCGGTTCGGAAAACCTCGCTTTCATGCAGTGTGGATCGAAACCCAATACTCTAATCTGTACCTGGTAAATGTATTTACAGTTTTTTATTACAAAATAGATATATTTTCCCATCGATAGAAATGAATAGCCTTTGAAATCAGCCAACAAATATATGAACCTAATGGTGCGAAAGTATACGTCAGTGGTATTTTGTTCTTTTTCCCGAACAATATAATAGCGAAAATTTAAGTCTACCTGTACAGTATCGCACAAATATCGATTTATTAAGATTTTCCCAAAATTTAACTGCTTTTTCAGTCAAATTTGATCTGTTGACGACAAGTGTGTACACGAGAATATATATAACAACATTATACATATTTCAAAGGTAAATAAAATTAACGATAGGTAATTGATAATGACTAATTTCTGAATATTCTCCATGCGTATATTGTTAAAAGTTCAAGAACTTACGGGCGTTTTCATTTCCAATCCAATTTTTTTAATGTTCGCATGAAAGAAACTCGAGTTACAGGGTATCTTTTACTGGTGACGGTCAGATAATTGGAATCGAAATCAGTGACTTCTTACTATAACAATAAGATCATTACATGATAACTGCCACGTAAAGAAAATGCTTATGAGAATATGGAATTACAATAAAAACAATATAAATATTCACATTTTAAATACACCAATAATAATTAAGAAGTATGAAATGAGCAGTGAAAAGCAGGATAGATTATGATTGGTAGCGATACATTTACTAAGTCTTCCCCAAGAGATAAAAAAAGTATCGAAAACTACTCTTTAACACAATGATCAAAGTTGTAAGCTTGAAAGTCTTGATATTTTGTATATAAGAGATGTGTTTGAATCTGTTATTTTGAAGCTATCTCGGGTTCACGTAATCTGCGAACGAGAACGAGATCTGGTGACCAAGGACCAGTAAGCTAACTATTGACGCGTCCCAGCTATCTAGAGGGAGAAGTCCAAGCTCGGAATGAGAAGTGTATTCTGCAGCAACCAGAAAACTGAGGGACCTTAGTAGAAAATACACTCGTTTATATATTGATTGTACACCCGTTTTGATTAATAATTAGAATGAAATCACATACATGAAAAATACTCACAGTTATAACAAATCATATGCTGAGTATAGTTCATAGTCAATGAAATACAAGAATATTGTATATTATACAGAATAAAATATCATACGAGAAAAGAAAAGAAATACTACATTGAGTAATCATTACATTGAATCAAAAAGGATCTAATGATGAATAAAACTCATATTGAGTAAATCAATCGAATATTGATTTTTCTTCCCATCATATCAGAATCTCATTAGAAAAAAATGTTATGGACTATGATCATTGTCTCTAAACATTGCGCTTCTGTATCCCTCATATCTGCTATAAACTAAATATGACAAACCTGAAACTGAGTATTCCATATCTACAAAATGAGTTGTACCCTAACTGATTCATATTTTGAAGGAAATGCAACCATTTTGATAAATATTATACTATGGATAATTCTAAAGTATTTTCAATTTATATTATTGTCTATTTTTAAAGAAATTAATTATATTTTACTGTTGACTTGATAAAATAATATACTAATTGTCATTTATTAAAGTAATAAGGATCAGTAGTCGATTCATGCCAATATTTTATTATTCCTGATGGAAATCGGTTGTTAGTTATTTCTAACTCATTAAAATGGACTGTGTTGTCCACTTATCAAAAAAGTATTCTTTAGGCTTAGTTGAAAGACCCCAGTAACAATTATAGTCCCGAATATAAGAGATCAAATATGGAAAAGTATATTTCAAGTTAACATAATAAACAATCACATTCGAATCAGCTGCCTGGTAGTTCAACAAGCATGTGGGATATTTCCAATCATACATGACTCATAAATAAATTAAAATGCAAAACTTTTAGAAATTCCAAATATGATTTTGAAAGTAGATACAACAGAAGTACAACACTTCAGATTGTGATTTATATCTTCCACGTAATCTGTAAAATCTTATTCTCGTTGGATCTGCTAGTACAAATAATTCAGTTATTTTTCTATTGTAATGTGAATTAGTTAAATATTTATTCAAGATGTATTTGTGTTATATATAATTTCTTACCAGTCACACACCTTGTGTTTTCTCCACACTTTCTTATGGCTTAATAAGATACGAGGCTTTTAGTTGAGTTTTGTTCTCTGAGCTGTATGATCTGGTTGTGTCTTCTGAACGACATCATTAGCACAAACTTCAAGTAGAAGTGTTCGAATTTCTTTACATATGACTGACTTCTTCCCCCATCGACTTTGATCGTGATTTGTTATTGTTGACCTTCAACCTTCCATTGTCTGGGAATTTATTTTGACTATCTCCCACTGTTATTTTTAAACTTGTCCATGATTTGTCTAATTGGTTGATAGTTGATTGACCTTAATGACAAGCTTCTAACAATTCTGTGACCATCTTTATATTATCTACACTTAAGACTTTGACTTTCCCCCAATCGAACCGGCGTACATAATTGTCCACATGCATTGATATAAGCGTGGGTACATCATGGTGTTTAGAAGCTAGTTTGTCTTCATGCAGGATACTATGAAGAAGGCTTCAACTTTTTTCGATCCGGTGTTTCTCGCAGTTGGAACATTTTGTAGATGGCGTTTGGGTTTTCTTCTCAATAATCTTGTAATTTCTGATAAAGACCTTTAGGAAAGATCAATTTATGGTTTAAATATCTTAAATTTCAACGCTCTACAAGTCTCTTGTACTAATAACTTGTCATCTGTATAGTAGGATGATCTGTCAGTTGATTTCCATATTTGATTTGGTTTTAATAATGAGTTTGATTGTTATTCTTGGATGAAGGGGTGTGAATATTCTTTTGAAAAAAGTGTCATTACATATTTCTCAATTTATGTGCCTCAGTGTCTACTCTCTTTTGAATCACCTTTGTAAGCACTTGATTTTATGAGTTGTTACAACTGTTTTGGAGAATCTAACCTGTGTGGTTTGACTTCCGGCATACTTGGAACTCCAATTTTCCTGCATCCCTTCTAAAGATTACAACATACAAAAATGATAGTTCACTTTACAACTAGTCTTTCACTGTGATTGTTTGTGTTTGTAGTTTTCGTTTTTATCATTCGTCATTGTATTCAAATAGACTTTCTTGTTGCATTAACCTCTGACTATGCTATGGAATAATTTCTTTCAAAAGTTTGACATATTGGATACAATTCGATGTACC